CCTGGAGCGTATACGTATGGAAACTTATACGCTCCTTACGGAGGTAAGAAGAGAGGGCCCTATGGTCGTCGGGTGTTTGAACCTTAATTTGAATGCCGTTCGCGAGGTTACGGGCATTCGTGAAATTTATATTTTTGGCCTTAAGGGCCAGGCAAACTCGATCCCAAGCTGCCTTCTCCTGAAGGATAACCGGGGGAGGACCTTCTGTGTACCTACTTACCGATAGTATTGCAACCTGGTTTTGCAAGCGTACATAGGCTACGGTAAGCGGTTTCCATCAAGCGGGCTGTCAGCTTGTTTGCCGACTTAGTGGTATAAAAAAGTATACATATAGTTGTAACTTCTACATTAGTAAGATATATTATATCGTTTTTTTTCTTTTATTTCTTGTTCTATAATTTCGTTTCGTAATAATTATATAGGCTAACAGATCGTATTCCGTTTATTTGAAGTTATTACAATTACTTTATTAAGTAGGACCCCATGTGAAACGATTCATGACAGTAGGTATAACCTAAAGTTCTTTTTCTCAGATAAAATGGTTCGGAACTATAAACGAAAAACAGATCGTGGCAAATGGGACCCTGAAGACATGAAGAGAGCTGTAAATGCAATTCTTAATAACAAGATGGGGTTTCTTCGAGCCTCAGCTACATTTGATGTTCCGAAGTCGACCTTAGAACGCCGAGTAAGAAAAGCTCGTGATACTGTGGATGACGACACTGATTCCGGTAACGACTGCGGGAAAAAGCATTTGGGTCGATTTAAAACTGTTTTTACAGCAGAACAAGAAGATGAGTTGGCGCAATATGTGAAATCTATGGAAGCACGGCTTTTTGGATTAACAGGAAAAGAACTTCGTGTAATAGCTTATCAGTTGGCTCAGCGAAATCATATAGATAACCCATTTAATAAAGAAACTGGTATGGCAGGAGAAGATTGGCTCAGCGGGTTTTTAAAACGCCATCCAGACCTCGCGTACAGACGCCCTGAGCCGACATCAGCCGCAAGAGCTATGGCCTTTAACAGAGTAGCAGTTGATCAATTTTTTTCATTGTTGGAAAATGTAGTGGATAAACATAAGCTTACGCCTGAAAGGATTTACAATGTAGACGAAACGGGGATCAGTACTGTTCCAAAAAGTCATTCTAAGATATTGTCCTTGAGGGGCCAGAAGCAAGTCGGTTGCCTCTCATCAGCAGAGAGAGGCCAGTTGGTTACGGCTGAAATCTGTTTCAACGCTGCTGGAACGTATGTCCCACCCATGTTAATATATGCTCGGAAGCGGATGCGAGATGATCTTTTGGATGACGCTCCGCCAGGGTTTTGGGGAACTTGTAGTGACAACGGCTGGATCACATCAAATATATTTTTTGATTGGTTTAAAACATTTGTGCAGTTCACACAACCTACAAAAGAAAAACCTGTGTTGCTTCTGTTGGACGGACATGCGTCACATACAAAAAATATTGACCTAATAGATTATGCCAAGAGAAAATAACGTTATATTATTTTGTACACACAATCCAGCTCCTCACTGCACCCACAAATTACAGCCGTTAGACGTGTCTTTCATGAAGCCATTAAGCACGTATTACAGTGATGAAGTAAAAAAATGGCTGAGAGATCACCCTGGTCGTGTGGTTACACCATTTCAAGTGGCAAAGCTTTTTGGGCAAGCTTATTTGCAAGCAGCCACAATGCTCACTGCCATCAATGGTTTTCGCAAATGTGGGATATGGCCAGTTGATAAAAATGTATTCACAGATGTGGATTTTGTTACTGCGGTGACGACTAACACAGAAAACCTTGTAACAGAAGAATCAAATGTGGATAATGCTCTATCAACTCGGACCAATCTAACATCTGCACCTATAATTACTGAAGAAAACCAACCCAGACCATCCACTTCGGCGTACCTGGGACAAATATCTCCTACAACTCAACAAAATAATGTAACTTCTTCAGCCACTTCTTCTCAGGCTGAAAATGTGCCTGTTTTGTCAATAAATATTACCGCGGATATTGTTTCTAATACAAACTTGGATTTTGATAAAGATTCCAGACCCTTCGATGTCCCCAGGAAACACCGTAGATCCTGTCTTGTCCACTGAAAATAACAATGTCAATAAGCTGGCTGCGTCCTCTCCGAATAAAAATGTACTCTCTGAGATCTCGTTTGTTTTCGAATTCTTTTCTTGTAAGTCCTGAAAATATTATGGCAATACCTAAAGAAGTAAGGACTCAGGAGAGAAATACTAGAAAACGAGGGAAAACTGCAATATTAACTGAATCGCCTTACAAAAACGATCTCATTAAAGATGTAACTATTAAAAAAGATAAAAAACGAATAAATAAAGTAGGAAATAAGAAGATTAAAAGGACCCAAAACAAGCGTCAAGCTAAAAGACTCGCCAAAGAAATCGAATCTGAAAATAGTTCTTCTCAAGAGAAGAATGGTGACTGTGCCTGTATCTATTGTGGTTACTTATATTCAGAGTCAACTGAAGGTTGGGTCATCTGCAGTATGTGCCATGGCTGGGCACACAATTCCTGTGCCGGGGTAGATGAAGAAGACGACAGGGCACATATTTGTGAACGCTGTTTGCCCGATTAAAATATGTACTCCTTTTG